GTATGTTGTGTAAATTTATTTGTGCTCGGTATGTTGTGTAAATTTATTTGTGCTCTGTATATTGTATAAATTTCTTTGTGCTCGGTATGTTGTGTAAGTTTTTTGTGTGTTCTGTATGTTGTATTAGTTTCTTTGTGTACATTCTGTAAGCTTCTTTTGTGCTCTGCATGTTGTGTAAGTTTCTTTGTGCTCTGTATATTGTATAAATTTCTTTGTGCTCGGTATGTTGTGTAAGTTTCATTGTGCTCTGTATGTTGTCTAAGTTTTTTTTGTGTTCTGTATGTTGTATTAGTTTCTTTGTGTACATTCTGTAAGCTTCTTTTGTGCTTTGTTTGTTGTGTAAGTTTCTTTGTGTATATTCTGTAAGCTTCTTTGTGCTCTGTATGTTGTGTAAATTTCTAAAGGATTTTTTCAACAATAACGTTGTGAATATTTTTTACACATTGTAATCTCACATCACACAAACCCTAGTCTAGGTGCTATACAACGTAGAAATTGTCAACAGTCGGAGTGTTTAAAATTTTTGCCACATATCAGTCATATTGTGATGTCATATCACACAAAAGTCTAGGTTTTATACAACATAAAATTTCTCAACAATCAGACTGTTATATTTCTTGCCACATCAATCTCATTGTGGTGTCATACGACACAACACCTAGTCTATGTGTTATATAACTTAGAAATTGTTAACAGTATGACTGTTAATAATTCTTAACGTATCAGTCTTTTCAACAAGTTATTTTTTACAGGTAAACATCTCATTAAACTGTTCTTGTTCAACATTAATTTGTAATATTATATCTATATATATAACTCATAGCACGACGGGAAGATTTATTTGTGATACTGCGGTAAAAAGGAGGGATGCAATAGGCGTTGGGTGTCCGCATTGACGTCAAGTTTGCTTCGTTTTCTTATTGGTTAGCCTAAATCTTATATAAAATGTTATGGATGGTTTCTATATTTTTAGCAACAGACGTGGGTTGCTTGAAAAGCCAAAAGAGTGACTTTAGTATTATTTTATTTTTCGCGTATTTAATTTATCGTCCATCATCAGACTGTTTCTGACTAAAAACTTCTACCTTTTCGTCTTTAATAAGATTTTGTATTCTTTATCTCTTCGTTCAACGACCGATTAAGTTTTATTTTTTAGTGTTTTTAATCTTTTGATAACCGACACTGGTCCCCTATAGTAATTCATCGAAAATGAATCATTAGGTTATCCTTTTAAATTCATCACAGATCGATTGTTTGAAATAATCACGAGATACGTATGTCTGATATCTTGGCAATGTGAGATTTGACCATTTTAAATATTTTCTGTGTAACAAGTTGGAGCTTTATATATCCACGCAACCTGAGTAAAACTATGAAAATAATGGAGGAATGTGAAACTTATCGTAAGACATGTGAACAGACTCGAGGCCTCATAACAAGCATTGGTTGTAGCAATACGGACTTTTCTATTTCCCTAAGGGTAATTTAATGTCTGGTATTAGTAATAAAACATATGAGCGTGCTTTAAATACAGAGAGCCGTGTACCATGTATTGTAAACTGACGCTATCATAACGTACAGTATAATTATAAGACAGAATAAATCGTTTACAATATGCAGCGATCAATAAACCTTGGCAACTTGCCAAGACGCTGTCTGGTAGTGCGTAGTGTTGTTGAAGGGATGTATTATGTCAGAAGGGAGGGGTGGGGAGTGAAATGGTTGCTAAGTCCCTTCAGATACCCTGTTATACAATACCCACTACGTCAAAACTGCATCACTTTTAGTAAATGGAAGAAGTCCTAGTTTGGACCAATGAAAAATGAGGATCCGCCCGATCACGTGCAGAGCGCGTGGACACCAAGTAAACAGGCCAATGACAAGAACATTACGCAGTTTAGTCTTGTGCTATAAAACCGGTGTTAAGCAGAAGTTTCCAGAATATTTTCTGGCTGCCGCTTAGAACGAAAGCAAACAAAGCTTTAATAGCAGTGCTTTGAAATTTGGTAATAAAGGTATTGCAGAAGCGCGTACTTTTCATAAACGCTCCATTAACTCATAATCATCAAATTAAACGTCGCTTATTGTTTCAATAACATACTTATAACTTGAAATTTCAACGTACACTGATCAGGTAATTGCGTTTTACTTAAGTTTCGGTTTCTCGGGACAAAATATACAGAATTACAACTTTGTACAATAAAAATTAGTGTTCGTTATCATTACAGTTGATCAAAATTCACCAAAGTAAAACTAGTCGCTCAGAAAATTTCTTATTTTCATTATAACATAACGTTTTCTCAGAAGCTTAACTTTTTCAAAATGGAGTGGTATCCGACTCAGCCGATCAATATTGAAATTCAAAATGAACATCATCTCGACCATTTATGTTCTACTGAAGAAGATGCTGTGTTGAGCTTGAAATTGGAAGAATTCTGGGATGCCGAAAAGCACCGAGTCCAGCTTGTCGAAAGTCAAGTTTTATCTAGCAGTTTGGAGAATCAGTTTCTGTACGAAGATAGCGTTAGCAAGCCTATTTCAGATACATTGGATTTCGCTCAGAAGGTAGGGATGAATTTTAGGGTTGGTTAGGCCTAAAATAATACCAAGACACTAAACTCACTTACTAACGAAAGGTACGAGTAGGCCTGTGTCTTGATACTCTAATATTTTTTTTCTGCATGAGAAAATCTAAGATTTTTGTATTTAACGCGCCTTCAACAACATACCGCAATGTTATGTTTACGAATCTTTTTTACGCTTTCGTGGTATAAATTCTTTTTTTTCAAACATATGTGACATTTGATTACCTTCAACAAAGTTCTGGGTTTCCTATCTGATATATTAGAACGATATTCTACGTACTGACTATGTTCATGTTACTGCCTCCCCCTCCCTCCCTCAGTGGCTCGGTGGTAAGTCCGGAGCTTATAACACTAAACATCGAGCTTAGATACTTGTAATGAGCACAGCATAGATAGCCCATTATGTAGCTTTGTGCTTAACAACAAACATACAATGTTAGTGGTAGGAGTTACGCTTAATATATTTTTTCTGCCAAGCAACCGAGCTTTCCAGGAAAAACAAACGTGCATTTTTACTGGAAATATTCCATAAATCTGATTAACTGGTCGAAATATCCCCTTTTTTAAGTTCTAAATGAACCCAGTTCTATTGTAGTAGTTTTCTGCCGTAAGTTAGTTTATTGAATTTTTCACAGTTTAAAATTTTGATACGAAGTTAGATTTTTGTCCCGCTTTTCATGCCTTAATTATTGAAATATAATATGCTTCGCATCAGTGGTTCTCAAACTATGTGATGTGTCCAGGTGGTCTGTGAAAAAAATCAGGGCAAAAATTATTTACTGCAAAAAATAACGCGATCATACTAAAAATGTTACAGTCGTATATCCGACCACAGGAGGAGGGGGGGGGGGTTGGAAAACACGTATGACATACATATCTTTATTTAATTTTTGTCAGGTTAAACACTTGAATATGAAATATCTTAAAATACATATTTGAAAGTACTGGGAGAGGAGGGGGAGATCTATAAAGTTCGAGTACCACTACTTCACATAATAGTTAGTAGCTACGTAGACGTGAATATAAACACATCATGTTTGCAACAAGTCCCCAGCTACTGGTGGGTTAATATTCAGCTTGTGTAATAACGATGTACTGACCACAAGTATTCTTTGATTGGTTTTTGTTACCAGGTCCCCACTCATATTTCTGACGTAGAGACCGGTCTTACACTACGTGGTGAAGATATTCACGATATACCAACAGTTTACACCATCAGCGGCCTGCGAAATTATGAATTTCCTGTCGTTGGTAAGAAGTTATGAACATTTTTTGGTTCTTGTATAAGATAATATTATATATATATAAGTAGTTTACAAGCTATTGATTACATTAATTACCACAGATATTATCCGTTATGACAATAAGTTGACAACCAAGACCGATAACGGTATTGCGATATATATATATATATATATATATGTGTGTAAACTTTTTTCTTCTTTTTTCCCGAATTTCTTTACAGGTACCTACGTAGACAGACGGATTGTACCAGGTTTTAAGTACAGAGTTCGAATCATTCAAACAGACCTTTATCAGTTCGGTGGCAAGGCTTTGAACTTAAGGTCAATCGGAATGGGCTATGGAAAACGGCTGACCTTTGAAAGCGAGAGCCTAAACTACAATGAAAATTATTTTTGGTCTGACAGTGATTCAAATGGCTATGGTTTTGCCATTGTTGCTATTGAAGAAGGTGATGAGTTCATCATCAAAGATTATAAGGATGCCATCTGCGGAGAACTAACGGTAAGAAAATGTTCTAACTCTCAGACTGAGAAAGACATGCGGGTGGCCAAAGACGGAGTCGTTGAAAAAACCATTGAAGTTAGGCTATGGGCTGAAATCAGAAATGCACAGAATGAGCTGGATATTCGGCTATCAACGAGCCAGGATGATGGGTTTATAGGAAAAGTTTCCCTCGTGAGATCAAAGCAAACACCAGTAGCTGAGGTCCGCAGGGTAGACTTCGATGACTGCAGTCTGAAAGGCTACCATCTTGAGGCTCGTGCCAAGATGAAGAACGTGAACGGAGGTTGATGGAGTTTGCCAATATACTGACACTGGCTTGACCAAAGGAGGACAGATTCTCGTCTTCCCATGTCTACAGTAAGCTGAAGTTGTTGTATTTCTTTGAATAGGTACACACGTACTCCACGGTAATCCTTGCAAAAGTCGGTTAACTAAAGTATTGTATGTACATTTGTATAGTGAGTCTTATCGTACTTAGAAATTATCTGTAGAAAGAACTTTCAATCAGATCAAGATGTTAAAAAAATATATAGCAACAGTATTTTGAATGTTCGAAACAAAATAGAAGTCCAGGTGAGAAGATAAACTCTACAAAAGCTGTAATAACGTTAGAAACATTTTAAAAGTAAGTCAGAGAGAGAACATATTTCTTGAAACAAGAATATCTATTTAAACGCGTTGTCAATAAACATTTTAATGTATTTATGGTTGCTTAGTCTTTGTATCTCTTGTTTAAATAAAGACCGTTTGAACTTCTGTTTCAACTAGTGTTAGAGCGTTAATTAAGATCAACAAACTATATCAAATTTCTTTTCTCCAAATGGGCCTGAATTTTGTAACTTTGGTTGAAAAAATAAAATATAAGAATACTGTGTCGTCTCTTTAAAGTTGGAGGTATTGCTCTTTGAAATGAACTAAATGTATGTGTCTGATGGTAATCGTTGTCTGTAAATTGTAAGTATGTGTAGTATGGTGAATAAACAATATTGAATCACGTTTTCATAGTTGTTGAGATTTTTTTTTCATCTTTAGTTTCGTATTTTGGAGAGCCATTTATTTCGGAAATGCCATACAATAAACACAATATTGTATACTGAAGGAAAAGTATTGTTGTGGTACAAGTAGTTACCTATAACCTTTTTTTTTTCAGAAAAACATTTATCGAAAATGCACAAATTACATTGTGTTAGTGTGTTTTAAAAGTAAAAAAAAAAAAGAATTGAGGAAAAACAAGACGATTGTACGTGTCACAAATACATCATTTATTCACGACCATGGTTTTGCCACTAAAAACCACATTATAATTGTACTTACAAGTCCAAATGATGGCAACTGTGTTACCGAAACTAGTCGGTTAAAAAGATTTAATAAAGATTCATTGCGCCAAAAATACATTGTTTTTGACACGCACATTTATATAATATATATATGTGTATATACATTTTCAATTCGTTCTCTTGATAAATTAATTGCGACACTTAGAAAACTTGATGCTCCATAGCAGGAAAGTTTGAAGTTTCTGGAACGTTATTGTTGTTTTTTAGCACTAAACATACACAGTGGGCTATTTTGCGCTCTGTTCACAGAGGGGAATCGAACCATGGATTTTAAACTTAAACAGGTGACATCTGGAGAAATACAAGCTGAAAATTCAAATTTTCTGTTACATTATGAGAAATCCGTTTGATCTAAAGATTAAGAAGATTTTAAACAATTGTCTTATTCATGTAATGTTCTCACATGCCATAAATATTTCAATACTTATTGTAAATGTTATCTAAAAAAATAAACATTTATAGGACAGCTTTAGTCATAGAAAAAGAATTACCTACCATACCCTCGTTCACGTGCCGAGATACCCTCGACAACAGTACATAGTATAAACATAGAAGGTTCGTAAATCACGATATTTGATCGTTTTATTTTTATTATAATATAGTGAAGGTTTGGATCGTTTGACTTAAGACGATGTTGATATAACTACATCTGTCCATTAAAAAAGGCTAAGTATCTTTGTAGATAATACTTAAAATAATTAGTAGTGTAGGCCAAACAATTTTCTTCATCCGATATTGCTCCCTGGTAAGTCAGCGATAGGTTTTCGGACTTATAACGCTAAAATCCGGGTTTCGATTCGCCATGGTGGACAGATTGCAGATAGCCCCATTGTGTAGCTTTGCACTAAAAAAAAAAAACTCGCCCAAAATTAACTCTTAGGATTCGCCATGTAGTTATATAAAAGTATATAGTTGTTGTATTCGCGGATGAAACCGGTTTCTCGACAAGTGTTAGATAGACGAATCCACAATAAGAGCAAAGTTCGTCCAGGAATTTGTGAAGGTTCTCGTGAGAGAAATGATTCGACGAGTTTTTCCTTTAGTGTGAAAATCATAAGTGAACGCCCCCAATGGCACAGCGGTATATCTGCAAACTTACACCGCTAGAAACCGGGTTTCGATACCCGTGGTGGGCAGAGCAAAGATTGCCCATTGTGTGGCTTTGTGCTTAATTACAAATAAACCTAATTAAACACGATGTAAACAAATGAACAAAAAAAATTATATTGTGAGCTAACAGTCCTTTCCTTACCTAGATGGCGTTTAGTTTATTATGGATTTCGCGCAAAGCTACACGAGGGCTATCTGCGCTAGCTGTCCCTAATTTAGCAGTGTAAGACTAAAGGAAATACAACTAGTCATCACAACCCACCGCCACCTCTTGGGCTACTCTTTTACCAACGAATAGTGGGATTGACCGTCACATTATAATACCCTCACGGCTGAAAGGGCGAGCATGTTTAGTGCGACCCGCAGATTGCGAGTCGAGCGCCCTAACCACCTGGCCATGCCGGGCCTGATGGCATTTAGAAACCAACTAACTAAAACAAGGAAATGTTAACTTCTGGACCACACGTTGCCGCCATGACAGCGCGGAAACTAAGCAATAAATATTGAAAATTTGTACAGCATTATAGAAAGCAGAGAATACGTTGTATGCCTGCATATTACATAGTAATTATGAAGTACTGGCAAAAATTATAACATGAAAACTAACCTTACTTGTCCGAATCTTCGAAAAATAAACAAACTAATAACTTGTATGGTTCCAGAATAGAAGTCTCAACTTTAAAGGTCAGAACAGTTATTTTCAACCCATAAGTTGTACGAAATCAAAAGCTAAGACTTATCAATAATATTGTTAACTGAAATATTATGAACTATCATATTAAAATATATTTACATTTATAGTCGAGATAGGTGTGCTATAATGATCAACTTGTGAATCCGAGGGTTCATGGTTCGTTGTTGTAATTACGTGCTGTGAACTTTAGGCCGTTGGTGAAATAAAAGTTTGGCAGTGGGTGCTGTTTACTGGTTTCCTTCTGTTTAACCTGTCAGGAAAGGCTACGCAAAGATAGCTCTTTGTACAACTTTGCACGAAAATTCTGTAACAAAAAAACTGTGTTCAATGTTTTAATTTAGATGTTTGCTAGAGGGCGCCTGGAAAGTTTATGAAAGTTAAGAATCAAGAAGCTTTATGTAATTATAAAGTAGAGTACAATATGAATATCAGTAGTTAATGATAATTAAGTTAGTTCAGTCAGTTAGTGAGTGAAGCAGTGAATTAATGAGTGACCCATTCAGTGTTGTTAGGAGAGTTATCGCGTCTTATCAGTCACTTGGTAAGTTAAAGTGGTTGTTTATCAATCGATTTACTTTTAGTATAATTTTAATAAGTTAGGCGTATGTACCATTCGTCTCCCATTGTGTGTTGAAAAGTTTGGTTATGAAATTAGGATTACAAGTGAAAGTGGCTGTAACAAACGTTATTGAAGAAATAAAATTATTTCATTGCCGTTACGTGCACTGGACTTAGCATTATTTTTACCAAACAATCTAAAAGAACCCACCCAACTATAGAACACCTTACAACAAAATTATACTCGTCAAGAAGTTCAACTTTAGTGATACCTTTTAAGAGGTTTATCTAATTTAAGTAAAACATACTTTTAATTATTTTGCCATCTATTGACAATATTTTAAATTTATATGTAGAAAATCCTATTTAAAATCAGTATTATAATTCTCGACTTGTAATATCCAGAAGTTTAATATTATTTTCCACTTTATTGAGAAATACATAAAATTCCCAATTTGACTGGTATTTATATTTTTATTATATTTTTCTAGATGTTATTTATCTTTTAATTTTTTGTTAAAAATAAATATTTTGATTAAATTATCGCATTTTCAGTTAAACCGTTTTCAAAAATATTAAATAAAAAATATACAGTATTTAGCACCATAGCATAAAACTAGATATACCGGGTACCAGTTTGAATTTTAGTTTCGCTCTAAGCAGGCAGTTTATTCTAATCGGAAGATAGTATTAATAGTAGCACCACATTCATTTTAATCTTAGTTATAGTATATGGAACTATATATAATTAGAAGCAGCTATCTTAAAATTTTAAACACATATCGCATAACTAAGGTAGTTTAACAGTTTATTCAAAATATTTTAAGTTAATTTCTTAAAACAATTTTCAGTTTCAATTCCTTCCTATTTATTTTTACAATTTCAATTGAAGCTCCTAGAGATGGAACTACTGCAAGGATGCTGTAACCCGTATTATGATAATATTTATATTAATTTAAATAGGAATGACTCATGAAAAAAAAAAAGGCTATTCATGATCAATTTACGAATTACTTATTAAAAAATTAATTTTAACGTTATTTACCACAATTAAACTTTATTTTTCGTTCGTTTGGTGTGGAAATTAGATAAGATTATGAAAAACTCTTATTGCACTTAAATATAATATATGACTGAAAAAGAAAATATGTAATTTGTTAATTCAATTCTAATTTGTAGATGGCGCTACCTATCGATTTGAATCAACAAGTTTCTGTGACTGGTAATGCTGTTCGTAGTTGTACTGAGTAGTAGTTTTGGATGTGTTGGATGCAAGGTAGGTCAAGAAGTGAAATTTGTTAATAATAAAAAATATACTGTTAATAGTAGTATTTTTATTTCAGAATTTATAATATGTGATTTTTCATTTTGATGATAACATAACTTATTTATTTCAGATTGTTCAAAATGAACGAAGCACAGAAAATTGCAAAAAACTTGGTGAAGTCTGTGGCTACACATGAAGTAAGTTTGTGTTAAAAACCTAGTAATACTGGTACAGGCCTAAGTTCTTGGAACAAACTTAACTTTAAATTTAATAATAATAGTTTCGTTTTGAGTTTGCCTGCTGATTACAAGTATTATTTTATTACGAGTTACAACTATTATTGTAAGGAAGAATATTTTTAAAACGGGTACGGCTTTTCGATCAGTGGTGCGATCGTTCTCACGTAGAAACTCTTATTCAAAAGAATGATCGCACCACTACTACCTTACCATAATTTAGTATAAAATTAAAAGCTCTAACTCACAGTAAACTAATAATTTAATTTTAGTTTAACCCTGCAAGTATTGCGAATACATAATAGTAGTAGTAGGGTTAATTTTTAGAAGTAACAACACCACTGCATATTTTTATCTTAGTTGTTAGTGTTACGTAACTTGGTACTTGTAGTAGTATAGTAATGACTCTACGTCAGTAAGATAACCGGCTAGTTTCTCATACGTTTGCACAGATTGTACTTTGTAGATGATACAGCAGTTAAGTTGACTTGATTGAGAGATATATATTATCTAATTAAGTCTGTTTTGTTTCATCTACTTTCTAAAATAGATATATATATATATTTCATTTAGCGTTTCTATTCATGATTTATAAATATCTGCTTTTATACTTTTTTATTAAAGTTGTCAAGTTTGTTTTAAAATGTCTGAAATTGGGTTTATAATAATATTTAATTATATAACTTGGATACCAATAAAACAAATATAGGTGTCTACTTATAGATCTAAAGTGTTAAGTTGCTATGGGACATCTTATCAGTCTCAGGAGCTTAAGATTTATGGGGTAATTAAATGTTT